GACATCAAAGGTATTTGTTGACCACCCAGGTATGCCTCCTGGGATGAGGTTTACCTGGGTGGTCGACAAATACCTTTGATGTCGACACCCGCGCATCCAGACTATCGCGCTGAGCCGACAAACAGCTGATCAGCTGTTTGTCGGCTCTGCGCGGCAGCCATGTAAATTTAAATGAAGCGGCGATTATTTAAATCTCTGTTTCATTTTCCTATGTCTGGTAGCCTAATCTACATGCCTCTGTCACCAGAGGCATGTAGTCTAGACGTACCCTAAGATTCCGCACTACAAATGGCACAGCAGCTATAGTGTAGACTCTTTCTACAGCAATGAAAGGATTTTTTTTTTTGGTTGATGTAGTTGGTCTACCCTTTGAGAGGTGCTAGCTAGGACAAGGGAAGAATGCTTCTTTTGACCTAGCTGCATCTATAGTGGGAGTTAGGTTGATGTATTTGTTCCACAGTATGCAACACTTTTCACAGTCTTGTGTGAAGCAGCTAGGTTGCCCTTTGGTTGTAGATATGGACAAGGTCTTTGTTTCCTGTCACTATGAAGAAGCAGGAGTTGGGTTAATAACAGACCCCTAACAATTCTGAACCATTTGTGTGGACTTGAGATGAAGAAATGGGGTAAAAGTTTGGGTTAGCATCTATTGTTCCTGAAGATGGTCATACATCCCTAGTCTGAATATTGAGCTGTATAACTACAGCTGAATGACTACTGCAGAAGCAACAAATGCATGTTTATCCCCTCAGAGTGGTTTTTTTTTTAACTGGATTCTCACAAACAAGCTTTCGAATAGACACTAGCTCACACCACTGTTTGGGGGGCAGGTGCTCTTCCTATTCCTTTTTGTGTGCACAATCAATGTTTGTACCCAGGTTCAAGTTATTTTCCTGTTCCTGAAATGTTACACATTCAGAACCAATACTAAGTGATGTAGATAACTAGTCACACCCTGCTAATGGTGCTGAAGAGAATGTTTTGAGTTTATAATCTATCCAGATTCTTGGTTCAAAACTGGTGGAGCACAAATAGATTCACAGAAATCAGGACAAGTTTCCACGCAATTCAGGAACAGAGAAAAGAGTGATATTTGTCAGGATTGTGTATAATTTGATCAGCTGTACTACTGAAGCGGGACTTATTTTCATTGACTAGCAGGAGAATTTCTGAAGAGTGTAAGTAATACTCACACTTTGGCAAAAACACTGGGAAAAGAGGTACCTAATTTACCACTTAACTGCTATCCATGATATCTCACTGCTAAAAGTATTAAATATTAGGATTCTGATGTTTAGTAATGAAGAGCAGTAGGAATTAAAAAAAAAAAACCCACAGAATTTACTTCTAATGCCTATCCTGTACCCAAACGCTTAATTCAAGTCACTTTATAACACTAGCTTTAACAACATGCCAAATAAGTCAGGCTTCGATTTGAAAAATATCAGATCCTAGAAGCAGAAGAACAGGAAACCAGTGTGCTTACTGGCATCCAGCCAAACAAAGGCACTCGACAAAATAAGGCTTTTGTTTGCTCTCCAATATTCTTAATTCAGATCCTTTGTATCAGCTTTCATAGCAGGAAAACCATGCAGTTGAGTAATTGTTCATGATTTCCAATTCTCCACACAGCTGCTCCAGTGGAAAGTGTCAGAATCCACAAATGCATTTATAAATAGCACCGGTATTGAAAGCACCCTTTTACTGTATGCATTAGACCATACACGGGTAACCTGGCAGCAATCTACAAGGCAATAATCAGATAACTTTTTGTACTTCTAGCACATCTTGGAACCTGAATAGCTACAGTACTCATGGCAGGTGCTCGAAACATGAACTGTGGAAACAAGGGCATTTCCCAAATAGAAGAGAAATCACTGCAATCTAAAGACTTTTTTTTAAAGAACTTTTTTGCAGGAGATGAAATACAGTGAAAGCTTTATCCGGCACTCATAGGTTAATTGTACATACTGGATAACAAACCTCATTGCTCTGCCCCCACTTCCTGCTGGTAAATCTGGCTCCTGGCAGCTCAAGGCAGGTTGAAGGGGAAGGAGGCACCTTCTGATGTCAGCCAGCAGTGCTAGGTGTCAGAAGCCCTGCAATGGCAGGCTGGAGAAGCGGGATTCAGGCATGCATGCCTGAAGACCCTGCGGTATTGTGAGAAACGGGGCAATGCTGGTCAACAGAGTGCTGGATAACAGCTTTCACTCTACTTAAGTGCTGGCAGTCTACTGTAACTTCCAGAAGTCATTTTAGCTAGGGTAGAAGAGGGATCAGGGCCACCAACTTCATACAGATGTAAGTTCAGAAAAACTTATCGGCTTTCATAGTAGGAAAACAATGCAGTTGAGTAATTGTTCATGATTTTCAATTCTCCACACAGATGCTCCAGTAGAAAGTGTCAGAACCCACAAGTGTATTTATAAATAGCACCGATTCTGAACAGGGGAAATGATAATGATTTACTTTTTTTGTTTTTTGTTTTTTAATGTTAAAATAGCATACCCCACACACTTACTTATTCTCACTGTGTAAGTCCATTGGCTCCTCATTTATTTCAGGCTTTAATTTTTAGATGTCCTAATTTTTAAGCATGCTACACTTGCCCCTCTCACTGGTCCCCTTCCAGTTATTCAGCACTAAGTTCCTTTCCATAACTCCATACAGTTTTACAGCCGTTGATGCAAAGGCATTGGCCTCAGCTGTTCCATAATTAGGAACTGTGATCTTGCCTTGCCACACTACAAGAATGCTCTGTTTCATTGCAAATGCCATCTGAAAAAAAATCCACTGTATTGGTAAGGAAGAAAAGTTGTAAATGTCATTCTCTCTCAGGTATTAGTTGTTTGGAATACAGTTTGTATGAAAGATGCTATAAAAACTGCCCTGTAGTATAACTGGGAAGAGAGCACTTATGGTTGAGAGCTATAAGGCATAGCAAACATGAGCAAAAAGAAGTTTCCTTACCCTGAGAAGCAGTGGAGGCTGATGACACCTTAGCCCTGGTCTGCAATAGGGAGTTATTTTGAAATAACAAGCTTAGTGTCCACACTACCAAGACTAGTGTCTCAGAATAACGGGCTGGTTATTTCGAAATAACTCTTGTTTTCCACGAGGAATAGCGCTTATTTTGAAATAGGCATAGTGTGGACATTCCTCTGCTGCCATTTCAAAACTACTACTTCCCAGAGTCATTCAAGTAGTTAGAGCCCAGGAAGCACTGGGGACTAAGTTAAGATAGTCCGTCCACATTAAGGGAGCCTGCCTCAGACTAGTTTCGAGGCTTCCCTGTAGTGTGGACACGCTAATTTGAAATGGTTATTTTGAGAGGAGTTGTTTTGAAATTTCCTAGTGTATAAGAATATTAAGAGATAGGTATGGGTAGTCGATTAACTGTGTAGTCAATACAAGTTGTCCTCCTACATTTAAA